TATTGTGTTTTTCGCTCATTCTCTTCCCATTTGACCTTCAGGATTTCATGTGGGGGCTTGTCTTGTCACGCAGTTCGGCGAATTCCTCATTGTGCGTCCCATTCACTTCCATCATTTCTTTCTGATTTCTTCCTACACTGCAATCTCGTTTGTTCTCTCGCACAGTAGATTGTTATTGATAGTGTCTGGCCAACGGATCTGAAGTATTTTGCATAGGTAACTGTTAATAAACACTTGTATCTTCTGGATGATAGATTTCGTAGTTCTCCAAGTTTGTGCTCCATACAGTAGAACTGTGTTGACATTTTTATTGAGAATTCTGACTTCGGTGTTGGTTGAAAAACAATTGTTTTGAGTTTCATATGTTCTTCAATTGTAGATGTGCTGGTGTTGTTTTCCGATCAGTCCCTTTACACCTGCATCATATTCACCGTGTTCATCAATGATGCTGTTCAGATATGTGAATGCTTTTACATCTTTCAAATCTCCGTCAAGTGTGATTTGATTGATATGTGTTGTGTTTTATCGGAGAATCTTGCTTTTCCCTTTGTGTATGTTGAGACCTATTGCTAATAACAGTACCATAAACATATTAAATACAAATTCAAATCAATGTCTGTTCAATAAAATTCATTCCTGTTCAAATGATTTCCAAGTAGTATGCCTTCTCAATCTCATCATATCAATTCTTTTTAAAAGTTTCGTATGTTTATGGATTATCTTGTTATAAATCTCAAACAAAAGTTACCAGTATATCTAAATCAGAGTTCCGTCTCTTGTTCTCAGAAAGCAGTTTTAGTGGATATAATAACATTTTCAATGGTTGAGATCATGAGCAAATTGGAATTCGACCACTAGTCACGACTTCTCACTATAACTCCGAGAACTCCTTCACGAAGCTGATGACTAGTGAGCACATGGTAATTATCAGTTTTTAGGGGTTTGTTAAGTTCTAATGCGATGCCGTGACCAGTGAAGCTAATCCGTGTCGAGTAGAGACAAGCATCTACCTCAGTACAATGGAAGATGGTCGCACAACTTCGTGGATTGGTTGAAGTTAGACATTAACACCAATATTGATTTTATTTTACACACGTAATACTCCCTTAGTACCGTTTTCCTTTCATTAAAACAACAATACTTTATTGAAAATGAGAACTGATCGTTTTTGTTTTGTATTGATTGTTTATATTATTTTATTGTTGTTGGGGACTCTAGATCCACAGAATGACTTATTTTTTTTTAATTTTGTTCAGAAAATTTAAATTCCTTTGTTTTCGCGCTAAAATCATTCTTTTCACCTTCATGTCGTATTTTCCACTTGGGAGAATCTTATACACTATTGGTCCGTTATGTCTTTTAGTATGCTATTCTTCAAACTTAGTAACTGTTTTTAGAAAGAATTTGTAGTGTATGCTACTGATTTTGATGAATATAAGTAGAATGTGTCATGAATTGTAAGTGATATACCTGGTAGTAGAAGGTTAAGAAGATCGAAGTGAAGTAAACGAAAACAAAGAGTGATTGGTGTGAAAACTAAGGAATAATCAAGCTTAAGGTAATTGATTGATATATCGCAAATGAAGTATTTACCATATGGTTTTCAGATTTTACTATGAGATTATGTTATTTCGTATTAAAATACATTTGATCGTTCCCACTGGTGTTTTAATATTCATTACAGTATTCCTGAAGTTTATTTCTTATGTAGTTATTACCAGTATGATTTAAGTAAACTTCTGTTGGAAAAACAATGCAAACTTATATTGTACAATTAATGATAAGTATCATTAACTACAGCTTTAAAACATAACTATCTTAACTGTTTGAGTTCACTTAATATTGTTTGCTTGAGTCTTCCCATTGTTTTTTAGCACTATGATTGATCAGTCTCTTATTGTCATATGTGCAAGCTGTGCGGATTGCCTCAGTGTTGCCTTAAGTCACAAACTTTCTAAGCAAAGATAGATAATAGCTAGTAGTTGAATCTAGGACGCGTGATTCATCCTATTTAGGACTCTTCAACTGGATGTACCTGCATCTCAGAGTTGATGTTCACAACAATTAGAAGATACAAGCAAACAATATCAAGTGACTTTAAACTTTATCCCATTGCACAAGCAGATGGCTATCAGGATTCAATACTTAAGTAAATAACACGATGGCATTTGAAGTGAATGATACTATGTTCGAGTCCCAGTGTGAACATCAACTATGAGATAATGGTACATCCAACTAATGACTTCCAAATAAGACCAAACGCAAAACCTAGATTCCAATGCTAGCCACTATCCATCTTTCCTCACATATCTTAACTCTTATATATTTCATTTTATTTAATCATATATTATTTTTTCTAATCTGAGA